GCTAATACATTTGCTTTTGTTTTTATCACCTGACGCTGAGTAAATTTTTGCATTCTGCTCTGTATTATATACGAGTATGAAAGCAATTTATAGACCAAACAGTCGCACATATTTGCTTTTTATTTAATGACAAACAAAATTGTGTGTTTATTTCTTGTTTTTGTTGCTTTTACACACACGCACACGACAATTTTACGACGTGGCTAACCTTGAAGGTGGTAGCCAAGCAACTTGAAAATCGCATCTATCGATCTATATTATATATTAATATATATATATATATATATTTAATATATAGTTGTGCTTATGATGCTGCTGCATTGTTTCTATGAATATAAATTAAATCAGATCAGCTGAGCAACTTTATAATTTTTGTATGCAATCCTTTAATATCTGATATAATATATATAGAGGTAGATAAAAAGATTGAAGTTTCCATATATTGTTATATATGTGTTAGAAAATTATATAGAAAATTATGTAACTCTTTAAACATGTGAATTATTACACATTTAAAAAAAAAAAAAAAAAAAAAAAAATTAAACTAATTTATTTATTTATTTTTTATGTTCTTTCTTTTCTTCTTCAAAATTTTCTTTATTATATGGCATTCTAAGATTTATAGCTTGCAAGTATATAATATATATTTCAATAAAATAAACAAATTTATAGCACTCCAATCTCAGCTATGCAGGGTACTTTGCCTTCTATCAGTAGTCGTTTACAGTTAATTAAAATGAATAGGTGAAAACAACGGAATGTCAAATGTTTCAAAACAATTTCACCAAACGCCTCAGCGTACACAGTGAAAAAGCTCATTTCCCCACATGTTGCAAAAGTGCTATGAAGAAATGAGGAGCCGAGGGGGGGCATGCAACGTATATTCATGTGTGTGTGTTGTGAGTTTGCCGCACATTGCACTTGAAATAGTTTCGAAGCACATACAAATTTCAAATGTTTGGACTGAGCTATATCTGTGTCTATATCTATTTCTATATCTTTCTCTATTTCTATTTCTGTTTCATTCTATACCATAGATATGCAGATATATGTATACATATTTATATATATACGGCGAACATCGTATGGCAAAGAGCGCTCGTCTATTATCATAATTTCTTATCAAATGACTCATGAGAAATCGTGTTGTGCGCAACAGTTGGGAATTAGTTGTGGTTGCTCTTGTTGTTGTTGCTTGTTTCTTTTTCTGGCACCGGCCAACTGTAAACAGATAGAAATAATAGAGGGCGAACGCAACATGAACACAACAATTGCATGAATTGTGCAATCTAATTTATATGCTCAAATAAAGGGAGGCAATCAAATACGGAATAGAATTAGTTAGTGGCGCTTGGCTCTGTTGTAAATGGAAATATATGCGTATATATTTCCTTATCTAGATGTATGTTACAAATATTGTAAGAGTTTTATAGAGCTGTATTTTGGTTACTAACTAGCGTAAAGAAACTCTGGGAGTCTTTATATCATACAAATGTATAAGGGTATTTATGAAAATTAGTGAAAAACAAGAAGAGATTTGAATGAATGTTGATCTATAAAATTATATGAAATTCAAATGAGCCTCAGATGGTAAAGTTTTCAGTTTTCTGCAAAGGCATTCAATCTTATATTCAATTCATTGATACATTCTTTGATTTATAATTTTCAACAAATTCTGTTCTTTCGATACCAAAATACCCAAAGTTTGTTGTACTTATGGATAATGGTTATAGAATAATCTTGCATTATAGGAGCTTCACTTCCACATTCAGAACGTTCTTTTCTTTGCGTAATAGATGCAAATTACCATTTCCAAGAATCCTCAATAGCTGTTCGATAATTGAATACCCAAAGCGCGCATTCCATATGAGCATTGTCTGCTCCTGCTATGGCTTCCCGCATTTCAGGTCTCTTGTGGCAAAATGATAATTATGCCAGGCCTATGCCAGGCAGACAGGCAAACGAGCAGCCAGGCAGACCTGGTAAAAGGATACTCCATAGCCGGCATAAACTTTCTCCCCCTTTCGCTGCAGCAAAAAAGGAAAAAGAGCGAAACCGCAAAAGTAGAAAAAAAAAAGGGAAACCACAAAATGTTGCAATTCACTCAGGTAATACAAAGCGTTTCCAAAGAGGGGGGCGTGGCATGCGGTAATAATATGGTGCGGTACCTAATTGTAAATGCAATTATGCAAATGCCAAAAAGGCAGTTACCAAAGCGAAAGAGTAGAGAAGAGCGAGTCAGAAATGAAGGGTAATCAAGCCAAGCAGACAATTGATAAACGAACCGAGAGACATACGATTGATAAAAGTGCCCGAAAAGAGCAATTAAACCAATATAAATTGTGAACACGCGCCAGAGGCGCAAACAAAACATAAAAGCCAGCAAAGCAAATATATTCCCAAATGTGAAATCGATATGGGCTCGAGCATATGCCCGAAAGGTCGCACAACAAGGGCTGTTGGCCTGAGCATGAGAATGAGAAGCGTTTATTCGAGGAGGGGTTGAGACCCTCCTGAAATAGGGAATACGATATGACATTTGCGTTTACCTTGTATTTCATGTGCGAAAAATGCAGCCGCTGATGAGCTCAGAGCCCAAAAATCAGAATCAAGCGATGAGACACATTACACATTACATTAATGCCACGCCTCACATATATAGATGATATAAATATATACATATATCTATGTATTCGAGATACATATTTTGATATATGTAGAGTATCTGCTTCGGATGACGTTACCTTTTTTTTGGCATATGCTGTTTGCTCTTATCTCTGTAATTCTATCAAATTACAATCGAGCAAATGTTTTGGTTCCTGTGCTGAAATCTGATAAGCAACCGGCCCTCCCCTCATAGAGAATCGCTCTACTGTTAAATTAAGTGTGGCATTGTTGGGGACGAAGGGGCGTAGGAGGCTTGCATAATAATTATAAAAATAGTCGATTATCGCATGGTTGGGCATGGTTGTCGATTAATTAATCGACAAAAAATACACAAAAAAGAGCATTTTAATTAGATCATAACAGATAGATACTCTGGAAATTCTTGATATGAGAGTATATGAATTTGAAGAACATTGTAGAAAAATCTATAATCATTTTTCTTAATATACTATATAAAATATATAATGAATTTCATATAAAACTTCTAGTACTTCAGATATCTGATAATAAATACAAATTGAATACACAAATCGTAATTAAATATAATTCATTATACATACTATAGCAGTTTGATTGATAAAGTCTGGTATTTATTGACTTAGTCAAGCAAGTCAGTGGAAAGATAGTATATGGCAAACTGTTTTATATATAGAATATTACCTATTCCTGTTTATCAACAAATAGCTATCGTACACTCGCATAGAACAAAGTTCCTTTTGCTGTCCTCATGTCTATCTTTTTCCCTGCCTATCTGAGCTCATGGTCCAAGGACTATTCTGTATGCTTTTGCTGTTGAGCAACTTGTTCACAATGGGCTCATGCATAAACTGTAGCATATTTGCGGGCGTTCAAGCGTTCATCAATGCTTTATTATGCGAAGCAGCAGAAAGAGGCAGAAGCAGTTGCAGCGGCAGCGTCAGCGGCGGTGGCGGTGGCACTGACTGTGGCTATGCCTGTGGCAGAGACAAATGACAACGACCCACTTAGCGGCTATGCCTCGCTGAGGTAAGCACAGCGCGCCGCTTTGTTGCATGCATGTGCAATTACGTATACGCCCTGTATTTATTGGCCTGAGCCCACGCTGCGCCGGCCAGACTAACAAGTGGTCCCGCGAGAGAGCGCTGTGAGAGCTGAGAGCTGCTGGGATTGCAAGTGGGTGCCGGTGTCGAACACCTACGCGCATAGACAGCAGGTAGCACCCCACACACACACGCACGTACACACAGGCACTGAGAGCACTTGTGCTTGCATTGAAATGGAAAACAAAAGCTGCATGAGAAATGTTGCAAAGGGCGCAATGTTGCCAGCTGGAAAACTTTCAACAGCTGTTTGGCCAGGTTGAAAGTTCATGCGGTAGTAAGAGCAGCAACAACAACAACCACAGCAACGACGTTCGCTACGTCCTTGGACTTTTTCGGTGTGGCTGCCACAGCAGCTGCCCCGAGACCCGGCGTGCTGCAGCCAGCGAAGGACATTTGCTGCTAGCCGGGTGCTGCACACACGAAAATCAATATGGCAAACACTCGAACACTATGGAATGCCATATGCATATCTAGGCAGCGATTGCCCAATGCGTTCCAGCCGATAGCAGCAACAAATTCCACTTGATTAGCACACCAAAGAAAAAAAGATGGAAAAAGTTGATAGCTTTCAAAAATGCCCCAAAGAAAACTTAAATGCAGAAAACAAAATATACAATTTACGAAATAAACAACAACAAACACTCGAGGATGAGTTACATTTTAGCCAGAGCTCACTGTGGATGGCCGCGTGCGCTTCGATTTTGATTAGAGCGCAGACAGTAACAACAAAAACAAAAGCAAATCTAAATCAAATAAGCAATGCAAATCGATTGAAACACAGCATTTTTTCAATGTTGTTGTAGCTGCTGCCCTTGTTGTTGTTTGAGTTGCCCGAGTTTTTGTTGTTGTTGCTGCGAACATTTAATTTCTCACACTTTAGTTTTCATTTTCATTTTAAAATGCTTTCAGTTTTAGGCTTCTATTGTTATTATTATTACCTGTTTAGCGTATGAATGAAATCACCTTTAGAATCAAAATCAAATGGCCAAGCAGCAGCAGCAACAACAACAAACGATAACAACAATCTGCACGAAAAACTCACTTGGCTAAATAAAAAATTAAAAATTAAAATAAAAATTAGTTTTTGAAATTCTTGGGTCTTATAGCAAGACAAACGCCCACTCTTTATACGGCCCGCACGCAACGCGATAACAAGCCTCAACTCTGCCAACAATAATAACAATAACAACAAATAGTAGTAGTAAAAGTAATAAAAGTAAGAGATATCATAAATTATTGTTGCCTGCGTACTTCGATTTGGTTGGCGGCCCAAAAACTAACGTTAGTTTGGCCAAAAGCAGAAAAACACTATTCTTTTCTCTCACTGAGAACTCGCTAACGGTTAGCCGAGAAACGTGCGCGGACTCAACACGAACAACCGACGCGTTTCAGTTGCGCCAACAGACTGAATTGTTCGAAGCACAGCTGAGAGAGCGAGCGCAGTCAACAAGAGCAGCGCAGCAGTGACGTCGACGCCGACAGCGGCTTCGCAAACGCCGGCAGCAGCAGCATTGGGCAATTCTTGATTCAGCTGATTGATAAGAGTCTCAAGCACGCACACACGCACATGTATGCACATGCATACGTACATACACACACACACACACACTCTGTCACTCAGACACTGCATTGCGTTTATCAATTATGAAATGCATTCATTCAAAAGCAAGCAAAATGAATCAAAATAATAGAAATAATATTCATTTGTATTTAAATAAAAAAAAAATAAAAAAATCGTATAATAATATATTTGAAATTTCCTTAAACACATACAAAAAAACAAAACAAACAAAAAAAAAAAACAAACAAAAAAAACAAAAATAGTAATAATAAGAAATGCTTAACTTTAACAAAATCTTAGGTAATTGCTCACAACTTATTTAATTTATAGTCCAGATACATAAACAATTTATAGTGATTCTGGGAAACGAAGAGTAATGTATACATTTTCTTTAGAAACAAAAGAAAATATATTTTTTAATAAGACAAAATTTAAATTAAGCAGAACAATTTGATATGCTAATAATGAAAGAGAAAAATGTGTGCAAATAAAAATATAGATGAATAGTTGAAAGATCGAATTTTTGGCAAGTGATACGACCAAGTCAAGGAGAAATGCTCTCATTATTAATTCTATTGAACGAAACTAATTTCATATGCAAATCATGCTGATGACATGCTAAGCATGACTCCTGTGCAGCTTAGTTTTTTTTTTTTTTTTTTTGAAGGCATGATGACGACTTAGAGGATGACTCAAGCGCAACGAGAGGCTTATTTATTATTTCGGATATTACGGCATTGGTGACTTGTCTGGATTTGGAATGGGTTAACCAAATAATATTTGTCAGCCACACAGCAGTGAATCATGTTTGAGATCTTGTCAATGCTTTCTATTTGAATGTTTCCTTTCTAAATTAAAAGTTCTTTATGGACATTTCAAAGTTTCTTTTTATCGAGTTAAGCCAAAGTGGCTAATAAAATATAGAAAAGGACACGGCCCGCAGCCTAGTTCACTGGCCCCCAATAAGGCTGCGGGTGTTGCTCGAAAGGCAAACAGCAAGGCGAAGCGAACTGGATTATTTATTGGGCGACCCAGAAAGCTCGACGTGGCCAGCGGGGCCCATTGAAAATGCAAAATGGCCACCAATTAATTAGTAAAAATTATGAAATGGAAAACTAAAAACTGAATACGAAACTATAACTGAAACGGAAACACGAAATTCATTTGAGTTATGCGCCAGCCAAACGCAGCTGTCCCACTTACCACCTGACCCCACCCCTAGTCTGCCTTTCAAGTGTCCTTGCTGTAAGTCCGAGGCACTAACCTGCTAGCCCTTTGGCGACCTAAATACCAGGCAAGGCTGGAAGCTCGTATACCTAAAAATGCAAATAGGATTTCAGTAGTAGAAAAGGCATAAGTAATAGCAATGGTATTTGATGCACTTCGAGAAATAATTAGTAGAAAGCTCTAGCACAAATTGACGCACTGACAGAAAATTATGTTACTAATAATGTAAGCTACAATTCATATGATTTTCATTCAGAATTGTCGCTCTAGCTAAAGTTAGTTTGTAATTTCTGAGATTTTCTTTCAGTGTATGCCTTAGCTGCTCCAGTTTCGGGACTGGCCACATCCATGTGGGAGTTGTCCTATTGATTTAATTTCCACTATTCTTAGTGACGCAATGCGCGACGTAGTCGAATCGCGTCGAGTCGAGTTGAATGCGCTGTTGGTGTCGCTGTCGCTGTTGTTGCTATTGTTGTTGTCGTTGTTGCTGCTGCTGTCGCCGTGGCGTCCCAGCAATAATCCTGAGACGCCTCCAAGGGGTTGTTTTTGTTTGCCACACTGCCACAATGCCACATGGCCCATTGAGCTATGTTTTTGGCTCTAGTTGTCTGCCGGCGCCGCAATGACTGCGCATAATTTTATGGTTTATAGCGAGGAGTAGTTCTCAGCTCCCAGCTTTCGATTCCCAGACGACTTGTTATTGCGCCTTAGGCCGCTGTTGCTATTAATATTTTGGGCGGTGGCTAAAGAGACCCTTCGACTGATGCCACAACTGCAGCTGGCTGCCAAACATGACCTAGACACTTTGGTCTAGTTGTCTGTCTAGTGCGATCAGCTCTAACATCATTCTCGAGGTCATTACAATGACATAGAGCAGCGCAGCTAATTAGCATTTAAATTAATTGAATAGTGACTAATGATGAGCCACAATCTGCATCTGTGTTGACACTGACTCAACATCTGCCAAAGAGTCAGAATGTATATTTAGAGCTGGATTCAAAGTGGGCTTAGTACTTTACTCAACCGTTGCTCAAAGCCCAATGGAAACACAATTTTGCGTAAATTTAAGGTAGAGCATAAAAAAACCCTTAGTTTATTTTAAATCACAAACCTTTCAAAATTAGATTAGTCGGATTAGGATTATTCTCAAACGCTGCTCAAATTAATATAGGAATAGAAACAATGTATGCAAATTGCAGTCATTAGGAATTTCACTTTTATTTTTTTTTAGTTTTTAACTATAAAGTTAAATTTGCTTTATAAAATGTAGTTCTCTATGATCCAATATTCTATAAATATGAATTCCTTTTGGAACTGTACTCTATATATGTTTTTATCTACATCAGAAAACAAGTAACAATTTAGCTAGAAATTTGCCAACTGAGCTAACAATGAGATAATATTTTTGCGCAACTCTAAAAATAGTGCGAAACTCATTTGAAGGGGATAGGCGAGAAGTGTTTGGGGCAGGAAACATGAAAAATCGTTTGTAGTAACAAGTGCGCGCTGCACTTGAAGTTGTTTAACTTCGGTTCGCTCCGGTCACTATGCCGCCGACTCCTGCCCGCAGCCTCTGGCAACAGACAACAGCTGATAAGACAATTGTCGGCCTTTGTCTTTGGCAACAGTGAGTGGGTGAGTGAGTGAGTCTGGTACATATAATATGTATGTATATACATATATACAATATCGTGTATGCCGAACAGGTTCTATGGCATTTTATCTGCAGTTAACGGGTGCCGCTGACCCACTTGCATAATGGTCTTATGTCCAAGAACTTCCTGATTTTAAAACAAACATGGCCAATTGTTTTGGATTTGGAGCACCAATGCTTATATATACACTATTTAGTGGTTGGTTTATCAATGAATGTTATGTACTTAAGATTTTTAGTACTTGTATTGGCTTCTAGTGAATCACTTCAAATGGGTTGACTGTCAGTTGTGCACATAAATTTCCTTATTAGCTACGCACATCAACCGCAATTAAGCTGATCAAACGATATTCGTACAATATGTTTTGATAGCTTTCTTGATTGTAAATGTGTGTGGTTAATTGCTCTAATTTTTGCATGCAAAATTTTTCAATGATTGCGAACATAAATAGAAAGCAAAGCGTGTCAGCAGAGAAATATTTATTATTAGCTTTAAAAGCCGAAAAGCGTATATTGTTGTTAATTTTGCAAAAATTTTGCAAGCTAAAATATTCGTATTGCCTTTGCTTAACTTGAAATATTTGAATAGCCCGCCAATGTGTGCAAGCTATAAGAAGCTGATTGCTATAGCGCAACGAGTTGACAGCGCCGGAACACAAATGAGCTAAAAATGTTTCCGTTTTTAATAACTTTTAGCTATTTGGTCACACTTTTGGTGCTCTCCAAATAAATTGCAGACAATTTGTCTGATTCTCCGTAAAAATATAAACATATAAAGTATGGACAGCCACAACGATCTGTCAGATGAGTTAATAAGACGTCTTAGCGGTGGTGGTGGCCTGGGTAAGTCATGAACTATCGCAGTCAGTGAGCAGCTGCTACAGCTCCTGCCATGGTCAACTGCACAGGTTGACGTTATAGTGCCTGCTCGCAATCTGTGTGCAGCAACAGTTGTCAGCCAGCTAATCTACCCCGAAAACCTTGCAGAGGAAGTGATATCCAGCGAGATTTTTGAAGAGACGAATATATACGAGGATGCAAATGATGTGGAGAACGAGCCAGATGACATTATCATCGTGCACATGGACATTCGAGAACCGCTTAGCACACTCAAGTACATTCATATATATCAACAAATTTTTACATATTAATTTGTGCTTCATCTTATAGAAAGCTTGTGGAGCAAAAAATTGGCGTTGAGCTAAACTACTATACATTTTGCCTACAGGATGCGCAGGAGGTAAGAACTCTGACAAATCCTCCGAAACATCAATTAAATGAAGCCATTTGCAGCTGGAGCCTCATAAGAACTTGGTCGATCAGTGCGTCAAGGGCGAAGGTCTAGTGCAGATCAATGTCCAAATCCAGACTACGCACAAAAAGATAAACATTGCGGATGTTCTGAAGCCCACAGAGGCAGCGCTGGCCACCCTGGCCATCGAGGAGGCTGCCCAGCTCAGTGCCCAAGACACCAACAGCAGCGGCAAGAGCTCTACCAGCGGCAGTCCCAGCAAGGTCAGCAAAAAGCGTAAGCAGAAAACCGACGAAACATGTGATGTAGATGTCATGGAAGAGGACAAGGATGCCGATGTGGAGGTAACCAAGCCCGTGCTTAACTGGGTGCTGGATAGCAAGTTCAAACGGGAGCAAATCCGCCTCAAAATACCTGAAGCAGTGAGTGAATGGACGCCTGCGCATGTCGCCCACTGGCTGGAGTGGGCGGTCAAAGAGTTCGACCTGCGTGACCTCAACATGGACGAGTGGCGAATCACGGGCCAGGCGCTGTGTGCCATGACGCACGAGCAGTTTAGCCGGAAGCTGCCTCGTGATCCGGGCAATGTATTCTGGACACATCTACAGCTGCTCAAGGAGTGCAATTTCGTGTCCGTGGTGCACAAGCAAGCCGAGGAACTACGCAAGCCGAAGCAATCCAAAGCGACGGCAGGTGCCAACATACCCGGAGTGGGCTTGGAGCAGCGTATTATGCGCAAATCCTTTCAAAGCGTTAAGAGCAATGATTGTGAGTAGCTGACGTATAGATACTGGATCCCTTCAACTAACCGTTTCTCCTATTACAGCCTCCGATAGCTCGCCGGCGCCACAAAGTCCCAGTCATCATAACAGCATCGGATCTGGCAACAATGGCCAGGTGCAGCTCTGGCAGTTTCTGCTCGAGATCCTCACTGACAGCGAGCACACGGACATCATCGAGTGGGTGGGCACAGATGGCGAGTTTAAGCTAAGCGATCCGGATCGCGTTGCCCGTTTGTGGGGCGAAAAGAAGAACAAGCCCGCCATGAATTACGAGAAACTTTCTCGAGCACTACGTTACTACTATGATGGTGATATGATATCCAAAGTGTCTGGTAAGCGTTTCGCCTACAAGTTCGACTGTGATCTGAAGCTGCTGATAGGTTATGATGCCAGCGAGCTGTCGCGCTTGGTTAATGAGCGCAAATGGGCCGGCCATCTGCAGGCGGCGCAGAAGGAAGCCGATGCCGATGCGACATGACAGCCGGTCACTGGTGTCAAGCGAGAGCCCGATATCCTGTGGAAGTACGAGGCGCCATAACGCTGGCTAAAATGGTTCGCTGTTCCCTTATTGGCCAGATTAATTGAACTGCATTTAAATATTTGTAGGCACATGATTTTATTGTTCACTTTGTTCATAATATATTATAGTTATTCACTAAGCATTATAATCTCCGTCTCTATAAGCTATCGCTATAAATATCATATATGTAGGTACTGTAACTATCTATATAGTAGGTATCATATATGTTTAGGCATTATATCATATATTGTTCGATTATACGTTGGCGATTTTTGTAAAATCCATAAAATTAAAAACAGAAATCCATTTTCCACGCGATTTCCTCGATTTTCATTTGTATGTTTGTGTGTATGTGTGAGTTTTTGTGATTTTACATGACTAGTTCGCTCTGTAGAGGCTAGACGATAGACTAACTAGGGCTAAGCTAGATTAAACTAAACTAAACGTTAACATTTAGCGAGTCGGCAGCTAAATGTGCGTCTCAGTTTGTTGATGGCCTGGCGGAATGTGCTCAGCTCCGGGCTAGACTTACGCTGCACATAGAACCGTGTAGCGAAGCCAGCTTTGTGCTAGGATAATACTCTTCCCTCTGCTGCTGCAGCGGCCGACACTAGAGCTCAGTCGTGATCTCGTCCTGCGGCCGAAAGCCCAGCTTATAGAACTCATCCTCCAGCCAGAGCGAGCTGGCATTGAGATCCGTTATGAGATTGCCGCTCTTCAGCGTATTGAAGCTGCTGCCAAATGGATCCGAGGCACGCGGCTCTTCGAATTCATGCAGGCTGATCAGCGAACCGAACAGGTGCAACTTCTGCTGTGCCGAAGCGCTGCTGCTGCGATCTCCTGGCAGAAGATCCGTGCCCAGCTTTAGGCTGGGTGGCGTCCCCGCCTTCTGCTGCTGCTGCTGCTGCCTGTAGATGCTGTGGCTTGGCTTCTTGGGCGCCGCATACAGCGCCTCCGAGCCACCGTCGCCCGCATGGGAGGTCTGAAAGAAGTCAATCAGCTGGCCCACTTGCGGCTTATAGCGCTCCAGAGCGTGCTCCGACCACGCATACAGCCGGGCCCAGTCGTGCGGCGGCGTGGGTATCAGCTCAATGGGCCTGTTCAACAATATCAGCAGCTTGGCCAGGTCCCGGACAATGGGCCGATACGAGTTGGCCGCTGCCACCTCGCCGGACAAATACAGTTTGCGTATTTGCCGGCGCGTGTCGTTCAGCATGGCCAGAAAGTACTCCGCATTGGGTCGCATTTCGTTCAGCTGACGCATGAAATCGGCCCGATCCATTATGTTCTCATTGATAAGCTTCTGCTTGACAGACTTGCGTCGTCGCTTGCGCCGCACCAGCATCACGGCCACGGCCAGCAGCGAGAGGCAGACCAAGAAGCCGCCCAGCAGACCGGCCAGCGCTGCCATCAGCGGCCCTGAGTAGCCAGTGGGCACACAGACGCGACCCATGAACTCGGTGTGGGCCGACCATTGATCCAGATAGCCGGCGGGGCATTCATCTACGCATTGGCGCGTATCCGTCACCAGGTACAGTGGACACTTGATGCAGCCCGCCTTGTTGCAGCGCAAACAGTGCGAGCTCGTCGTCACGGGGCAGCCTGCAAAGAGAAAAGTGCCAGAAATTGGGTTAGTTAGGTTGGGTCATAATTGAAGGTCTCTCAATTAGCGCTAGCTCACAATCAGCATAATTGCTGCTCATTTGCATAGGGTAACGTCTGCTGAAGCCTCCCACAGTCAATTCCCTTAATGACTGTAAATTAAGTCATCCATCCTATTGAATTATCACTAAATGGCAAATTACACTAGACAACAAATATCCGATAGAAATGGGAGCTTTTTCAAAATCATTGTTGTCCTCTTATTAACTGTAACTCTGTCCATTATTATAGTTTTTTTTACCTTTGGAAACTGAAAAACGTTATCTATTTTCTTTCCTGCATGTTAGTCATTCTCTTGTTTCTGTCCATTAGAATCAAAATTCTTGTTGTCCAGTGTCAACTGAGCATATCATAAAGATTTTCCACTTTAGCTGGGTTTTGTCATTGGCTATTTGTTTTGTTGGCTTTCAAATTCAAGGTAAACCCAACAAAAATTGTTTGACTTTTGGTTTTTGAAAGAAACGACGACGACAACGACCACAACTACAACATCAACATCAACGCATTAGCATAAGAAGTGTTGTGCACACAGAGACACAGACAGTTGACAGACAAACAGTCGGACGGACGGAGAGACACAGACTATGCTACATATTCTAGGAAGGCGTCCGTCCAATGGGAAAGTTCAATATGAGACGCGATGAGGAGGCGCATCCCAAGTGTTGTCGCCGCACATCAAAAGCTTTTTTTGACAACTGCAACGAGAGACAACGCAATGCGACTCCCAAGCAGTTCAGTCGTTGCCGTTGTTGTTGTTGTTGCTGTTATTGCTGCCATTGTTGTTGTCGGATCAGCAGCTGGCCCATTTATCTTGGACTGAAGTGGCTGTTATGCCCTGCGCGAAAGGTGAACAAAGAGTATATGAGGCTTACGCGAGTACTTCCACTACAAATGAAAACCTGCGAATCTGCTTAGAATATATAGAAAATAATATAGAATATCTTGTTCTACATATGATCAGCTATACCTAGAGCAAAGTCTATTGGGCATTGAGTGGGAAACCTTTAGTCTATAGAGTAAATAAGGTAAAATAATACGATTTCAAATTTATCGCATCTATGTGGTTTTGAACTTAGGTTTAACACAGTCACAGCTACAGTTTAAGAAGCATTCGATCAATATAAAGTCTTTTTCCTTCAATCGTTTTTTAGTCGTAATTGGAACACTGAATTTCCTGATTTCTAACCTAAGCTCAACCGCATCTGAGCTCGGTTATTCCCCTATTTATATTCACTCTCACAAGATCACTGAGTATGTTGCAGTCGTTCATTTACGGTTTATTGTCTTTCTTCAACAAAGCCTTGGCGGTTTCTGTCTGCCTGCTCGCCTGTCCGGCTGTCCGACTGTTTGTCATTGCACCACGTACGCACCTTGTCTGCCCCGATTGCCATGCACTGGGCGTCCGTCGTTCAGCATCGGGCTGGGCATCATCAATGGCATTAACTTGTTTTAGCGCTAATCAGACACAACCCCCGAGCAAATGCAGCCGCAGCAGCAGGGGCAGCAGCAATCGGATTGCCGATTGCCGATTGCCAATTGCCAATTGCCTTTTGCCGACTGTCTGTTTGCCTTGGCCATGGCCAATTCTCAGGTAAGAGCTGTGCGGATAATCAGTCGGAACGTAACTCGTAATTGATATTGTGCAGTCCCTGGCCAGCTCCGCTCCACCACCTGCTACGACCCAGTGGGCTGGTTCTGGGCGTGCAGTTGATCAACGATAATTGGTTATTAAATGGAAGATTGCCTTACCCCCAGCTCCTGCTGCCGCTGTTCGTCATGTAAATGTACTGAAATTACAGCGCCCAGCCAGATTATAGTGATACACATACATATACATATGTATATATGTTATATATAAATAATGATATCTCGATTGAGCCAGCAGGATTCCAATGGCATTGCGCACTTGAGCGGAATAAATGCATAGCAAATGCTCCTCGGACCGAGCGTCGTAACTCAATAGAGATTCAATTTAACAACTGATTGAATCACAGATCGAAACAATTATCATTGCAGCCCTAGCACGATTAAGTGTTGCGTGTAATTATACCCTGTACGCAATAAATATATATTGATTGAAGGTGTGCCCTCTGTGGATAATATTGCGCAAGATTTGTGGCTCTTCATATGGGGTATACTTTTTCCAATGAGTGAACTTGAACACTCAAGTACCCTATTCTATGAGAGTATTTGAATACTCAAATATGTATAGAAATTGAATTAATTTATTTTTGATATTTTTCTGACAACAATAGATACCCTGTATAGATAATCAATTTTTTAGAATGTTGTTGGCATTTTAGAATATATATAGTATTACTTGTATATAAAATGAAATATCGTTGCATTGCCCTTTAATACATCTAAGTTCAACTGCTAGCTACAACTACACTGATTAGAGGGTATCTATTAGATAATCATTCAATTTGTAGAAGATTCATTTATCATCTGGATAGCTTATCCCTTCATTTGCATTTCTCAGCAATCGATACTATCATAACTCAATCAACAACAAACTGCGCCCTATTCAGAATCTGTCACGCCCACACTGTAAGTTATGCAATTGTTTAGCTAAATATGAACTAACTAATAACAAACATTAGTGGAACATGTGCTATTGTCTAAGTTTAGGTTAATGAGCAACAAAAAAAAAAATATTCGAAGAAACTTAAAACAATATTGAAACTTTCTAGCGCTGACTCAGAGCAGCTGTAGAAGCTCTCTAAACATGGGAATCAAATACCATAAACATGTGAATTTCGTAGTAGCTAGGCGTGTCAAAATATCGGACAGTTGCCCAGATATTTGACAGATATACTTTCACTCAAAGACAGCTGCAACAACAGCAAAGCCTAACTGGCAATTAGTATATTGTAAAATGTTTATCGTGCACAAATCGCAGATCGGCGCTCAAAGCGTTAATTTTATGACGCGTCAAATGAAACACGCATCAAACTGACTACATAAAAGACCATTTGCTGTGGGGGAAGTTCGTGTTTGAATGGCAACTATGAGTAATGCCCCAACAACTAGCGATGTGTGCGTGAGGCAATTGGTCTAATAGGACACGAATGTGTATTACAATTGGTATGGCTAACAGAGTAAATTTGGCTTATTGTTTAAACTAAACTTTATCGAGGACAAAACAAGTGCAAGAGTTTATTATTATCTAGGCCATGGATGATTTTACGTAAAGCTGAACTTGTTATTTAATATGAACTAACCTAAGGCTTTATTGAATATCAAAGAAAATTCATCAAAACAGAATGCTAGTTCTAATAATAAGACCTAAAATGTTAGATTAATTGAGATAAGAAAACTTAAGAAACTCAAGTCAGAACATTTTGTTTATTTTTCAGTCAATCAAAGCGAATCTTGATTGACATATTCAAAGTTACAACGCGAACGTGACACGCCACGACACGCACCCATCTCTAGCACTATAAAAAAGATAATTGAACTGGTTCCACACGCTCAAGGTCGTTCCATGTGAGAGAGTCGCGCATTGAAATTGAAAATTGGTTATCGAAGATCAGCGGCAAATGTGGAGCCAAACAAAGCTCAGCTACTGTCTACAGCTGGCTCTGCTTACCCAAAACCAGGGCGTGGCCTTTCATGTCAGTTGAAAGCATTGACATTTGCATGCAAATAGGGGG